AAACACATATCAATCAACACCACAATCAGGATTTTCAATACAAATGTCAAGACAGTTCTACTGTATGGAGCGAAAACTTGGAATATACCAAAGCCATCATCCAGAAGAAACAAGTGTTTATTAACAGTTGTCTTCGCAAAATACTTCGGATTCGTTGGCCAGACACTATCAGCAACAACTTACTGTGAAAGAGAACAAACCAGATTCCAGTGGAGGAGGAAATCAGGAAGAAGCGGTGGAAGTGGATAGGACACACATTGCGGAAAGCACCGAACTGCGTCACAAGACAAGCCCTCACATGGAACCCTCAAGGTGAAAGGAAAAGAGGAAGGCCAAGGAACACATTACGCCGAGAAATAGAGAAAGATATGAGAGGAATGAACAAAAACTGAAAAGAACTAGAAAGGGAAGCCCAGGACAGAGTTGGTTGGCGAAAACTGGTGGGCGGCCTATGCTCCATTTGGGGTAACAGGCGTAAGTAAGTAAGTTAGTTAGTAATGTATAATGTATTTCAATACCATATCGAATTTCCTGGGCCTAAAAACTGAGATTTATCCACTAGATATACTATTTTCTGATACTTATTTACATTCAACTCATGGTATCTATTATAAATTCCCTGTGTCAATAATAATTCAATCGCACTGTTTGTTGTTTAAAATGATTATCTTGTTTTGTGCTTATCTGAGCCCAATATATAAATAAGATTATCATCTTACCATTCACTTTATTCAGCTTTATGATTAAATTTAAATTGAATTATAAAAAAATTGTAGAAATCCGTTGAATAGATTCAGCTGTGTATATATATATGTGCATACAGTTTCTGAAATACAGGATATGAGAAATAAAAATCTGTTCAGGTGTGATACTATACATCAGATATTAATGAATCATGATTCTGCATGCTTAGACATTGTTTGCATAAAACTAAGCTTTTGAGGGAGGCTTGTCTTTGTGTCGTTCTACAGTAAAACAACAGTAAAGGATTGAATATTGAATAATGCAACATTTTCAAACTTTATTTCATGTGAAATTGACTGTCTATGAAATCTAAACACCATTTATAGATGGTTTTGAGAAAATATAATGCTGCTGAATTATTTTACTAACGAGAAATTATTTTATAAAAATATTTTTATGGTTTTCATGATAGAGTTATGCAGATTGTTGAGTTTTATTTTTATATTTTGTAAAACAGTAATTATGTGTTCATTCTGAAAATAACCAATTTTGGGATATAAAAGTAGTTTTACAATGGTATTAGTCATATGGAGTGGGTGTTACATTTTAGGTGTATTTTTTTTCTTCACTCTATGTAAATACATATGATTTGAACAAATTCAAGTCTAAAGAGTTAGTCCTTAGATTAAACTTATTTCAATTTTGTTTAGTTGTATTTCTCTATTGTCATGAATAATTGACCTTACAGGATTTAGGATTCAGCAATTTTATTCACTGAAAACCTGGGAAGACTGGGTGATAGTTTCATATTAATATGGAGACTTTTCATCACTGTGCATGTTTGATCCCGCATGCAGGACCTAACGTTCCATGTGCGAATGCTTGACGTTTATTAAGTCCACATATGAATGATGCTAATATTCAACTTTAGTCAATACACGATACTCTGTGACCATCATCAATTGTTTTTGGAGGGTTACTGCCTTGCACCCGACATAGCTGAACTCCAATGGTTACGACTTTTTATTAGAAGTCAGGGAATTTCTTATTGAGGCTATTCAGTAGTGACTAAATAATTTTCAGTGTACAGTCTTCTATTTATTCCAGGTTTTCAATGATAATCCAACTCAGAATGGTTCATGATCATTATAAAGTTCAACAATCTGAACACCTCATAGTGACAGTTATTTTCAAAACGGGATACACTCAAAATAAAAATAAATAAAGATAACGACAGGTTAAAAGACAATGACAGCTAATTAAGAGTGAGGTCGACAGAGCAAGCTACGATTCATATGAGGAAGAATTCACGCACACCACTTCTACCTGGGCTTTGTGTTGATTATGTTGTTCAGAAGAATAATGCAAGCTCCTCAACCAAACTTCATCATAATCATCCACCTCAGCTGAGAAAATTCCCTACCATCTCAAATCAGTCATTTTCCTGTGTTCTTTTAAGCTAAATGACTTCTTTTTGAAACAATCAGTCCCTTTTATAAATTTTGATAGAACAGTGTGATCAATTACGTATTCTCACTTCTATTTGAGTTATAGGAAACTGATGCCTTATAATAATCGGGTGAATTAATTTTGTTTTTTCATGTGTAAATAGGATAGCCAAAATCATAGTAAACATATCGCTAAACATTTCTCACAAACATACAGATTTAAGCAAAAAGATTAAACAAGACAAAAATTATTTCCTGTTCAAAACTTTATAGTATTTAAGGTCAACAAGAACATATAAGATTGCGGCTGATTTCCTTAGTTAATTAGTGTTCATAATAATATAAATTTATGGTCAAGTGAAAATGCAGACTGTTCATGCTAAAAATTATATATTTATATAGGTGTAGCATTAATGATTTATTGATTTTTCCTATGTCCATAAAAGGATGATGAAATACCAATCTGGTCAAGTGTTCAACCGGACTTCTTTCTGCTCATTCAATGGATTATCTTCGAATGTTAAGAAGTGTGTAATTTACTATCAATTTATACTTTTTAAATTGTTATTTACTATGATTCGATGTGTAATTCACTCTGGTAATATTACAGAATCGCAAATTACCATGATTGAATAATGTTTATCTTACATGCATATAATAATATAAGGTAGGACAACACTATATTTAACAAGTGGTATAAGAGTTAAAAAATCTATTAACTAGTTTCTGAGAGCAAATTCCAAGATGTTTTTAAGAGACAAAATATGGTTTTACTAATTAAGTAGATGAAAATGTTTATCATCGACTAAAATGTTTTACTTTCTCGTCTTTAAATCACACTTTGTATGAACTTTGGTGATATTAATCGACATCCCATGCAAATTAAAGCTGCTCCCAAGGTAGAACCAATGGATTCAAAGATAACTGTTGTAGCACAATGATTTTAGAAAATTTTGAAATAAGTATATCGTTCTATTCTCGCAGTGTAGCAGTTTTTAGGCAGTCAGGAGATTGGTTTGTTTAGGTTTTTAGACTTATTATCCTTGTGGTGGTGTTTAGTTCTCTGAGCTGGTTGTTTTGGTTGTGGAGCTTTCATTGTTCTTCTGAACAACATCATCAGCACAAACTTCAGATAGAAGTGAAGCATTCGAATTTCTCCACGTTTGACCTGTAGGTTGTTCTGCTAACAGATCAATCAATCAAAACAAAGGTGCAAACAACGACGGGTTTAAGGTCAACAACAACCAATCAAGATCGAGGTTAGCAGAACAACCTACAGGTCGAACGTGGAGAAATGCGAATGCTTTGTAGTGAACGAGAACACAGGTGAGGGCAACCCAATTGTATTTAACGAAAATTACAGAGTTACTCAGTAAAATCGGAAAACCATATCGTAAATTGTTCATTTGCAAAAGATCAGTTCATCATATCGAACTGGACTGTTCCTGTTGCAAAACATCAGTCCATTGTCACTATTCAAGCGTTTCATACAAATTCCATTGTTTTCTAACTCTTCCTTTCTTGATCTTCCCCCATCTTCTGCTGCCAGACATTACGTTGACGCTCACGTCATATACTACTTATATGTAGCTCACACCACAGCACCACAATAGTATGACTGAATATCAAAGTAAAGTATCATGAAGACCTAAATGAGAACAATATTATTAACATATATTTCATGCTCTAATTATGTAACTGGGAAAAAATTTCAATGCCTAGACTATCAACAAAGAAATTTTGGTTAATGAGTAGAGTATAAGGAATTCTGGTTACATTTTGCTTACTATCAACCTAGCGTAAATAAATGAGATTCATTTATGGCAGCATCCTTATGAAGAGCAGTATTTGCTCTGTCAGACGCCTGCACAGTGGTCCAGAGGTTAGGCGCAGGAGTTGTGGATGCACACTGCTGATGAGTCTCATATCTGAACGAGACGGCCGTCCAGTGCTTCCAGGTTCCTAACAGTGGTCTAACAATGATCGATTCATTATTCCAAAAAGGTAACTCAACAATATCCACAATCGAATAATCTGTAATAATTGTCATCGTGTTCAGTGATAGTTATCAGGTTGTTTTAATACAATTAACAGTTAGTTACACAATACAAGTAAATATGTACAAGTGGTAATTTTTCATCTTAGTACATAAAGTTTGCAAATAATATTAATTTATAAATAATTATACATGAAACAATATCTAATATAAGTATGTTGTCATTAAAATGCATTCAATGAACCGAAAGTTAGGGATTGGTAAATTTAATTTTCCTATCCTCTTAAATTACTAATACTCTAACTGAGAAGTAAGGCCAGGGATATGTAGTAGATGTAAATCTGAAAAACAAAACAAAACAAAGATTGAAAAAAAAGATCGTTTGACAAACATCACCACCGACTCACATACATACATACATACATATCATGTGTCATGTAAGTTTATTATGCCCGAAGTGTATACAACATAAACAGCATAGACAGACATACAGAGAGCAAGCTGATATACTGTTTGTTTGTATACATTGAAATTGTTGACGACTTTTGCATTAAAAATGCTTCTTTCTTCTAACTCTAAATTCCAGAAGAGGAATCTAATATCAACAACTGCCAAAGTTATCCTCTCTCTTTTTCAATTGGTTGGCATTATTTGCTTTGAGCAGAAACAACATTACACTGTTGCTCAATTTATATAACTCAATGAATCATGCATAACATCAAAATTTATTGTAAAGTTTTGTTACAGGAAGAAATAATTATTTCCACAAATTTATTATTATTATTACTATTATTATAATTATTAATATTAATCCTGAAATCTAGTCAGTACACATTCAAAATAAACCACTCCATTACCAATCAAAAAACATAATGCCTATGCGTATACCACAACCAATACAGATTTGGTTCAATTCATTGCATAATTATCGTAAAACGATCCTATCTCAAAATGATTTCACTCTGTTACCAGATAAATCAGATGAAAACTTCATTGATAATAATAATCCATTATTGATTGGTGGCATTGAAAATTTATTACTTGAAATGATACCGAAAAATTCTAAACCGATCATTAAAGATGGTGCCATTGAAGTTGCTCAATGGATCTGTGAAAATTTAATCATGTTATATGATGTTAATGATGAAGATTGTTATCATCAACATGATTCAACGAATCGATTAGAGATGCATAGAAAAAATCTATTGATTGATTTGCAATTAGTTACAATAGAATTATTGCCAACAATATTGTATGTATATTTTTGTCTATTTGGTAAGTTTAAATAGCTTGAAATGTAAGAAAAACTTGATTGCTTACATACAAATTTACTAGAAGATTTACAAAGATCAAAATTGTAAATATTTTAATTGTTTAATTAATTTGGATAAAAAGGCGTTCGTGCGCAAGACCGAAGGTCTCGGGTTCGAATCCTGCGAGGTGCAGGTGTCGTGGATGTCGTGGATGTCGTGGATGTGCACTGCTGATGAGTCAGTCCCATACTAGGACGGAACAGCCGTCCAGTGCTTTCAGGTGGTCTAACAATGATTGACTGATGTTTTCAATGTGCCAAAAACATTAATCTCTATAAATGATAATTTTTGTTAGTTTTTGTCAATAAGTGAAATTAGAACGTAGATTTTTATATTGAGGTTTCGATTAGCTATCAATAAGATCATTTATTAGATTTAGAAGTCATGTTAGTGTACTTATTTTTCAATTTGACAATTATTCTAATAAAGTTCCTTTATCTTAAGTTTATGTTTAACAAACCATCTGGCGTATTCATAACATGCTTCAAATCTAACCGAAAATTTCAATAAACAAACGAATTATTGTAAAATTCAGCAGAAACCACTATTGTTGTTGTTCTCTCATCTTCTTCTACTTCTTGAATAGTATCGTTGAACCCTAATCTCTCCGATTACTGCTAATACTTTTACTACCTCTACTACTATGAAACTTGAATTGACAATTACATCTATGTGCTAATGTGGGTATGTCAACATGAACTGATGTGCGTACGTACGTACGAAGTTCTACGTTGCTCTTGATCAGCTGATCTCTTCTTTTAAGTCTGCATTAAAAGAGAAGAGCAAGGACTGCATATAATAACATGGAAAAAGATGCTATTAACATTGAAGGCACATAAACATTTTTTATGAATTCACAAGTTACATAAACAAGAAACTGGAATTTATTCCAGTATTGTATAGTGTGTGCTGAGGATTTATTGCTGTCATCAGAAATACAGATTTATTATTAAAAGTGATAGGAAGTTGGATAATATTTTATTGTTAATTTATTTACATGTTCAACACATCGAATATTGTATAGTTAAGATAACTGAACACAAGTGCTTGCACAATGATAACATATATATTTTCAGTAAAATTACCATTCATAAATATTACTTGACAGTAATTTACAATTATTATAGTGTAAGTAAGATTTTTTAAATTTCAAAGCTCACACAATTCTTCATTATCTATCATTACTTTGAATTTCCAATTTGACTGGTATAGTGAATAAAAGTAACTCTAAAGTAGGTGAAATTCAAAATGAAGCTCAGAATTCTGACTTCAAAGATTACATTAATTATATTTCCAGTGTGTCTAGGGTGGTACAGGCAATCGGTAAAAAACAGGTTGCATATTATTTCATAATTTTCAACAGAGTATATATATATTAGATTTTGAGAGTTTAGATAGGAACTCATGCTAAACATGTCACCTCAGATATGTTGGTATTCGGTTGTAACCTGTGTTGATTTTACTACTATTATTGTATGACGACACTGGAAAGCGAAACATTTGTGAAGAATTATCTGTTATGATTCCGTGATCAATTTATTTTTACAAAGATGATGATTATGTTTGCTGCAAGTGATTATTTCCTTCCTTATTGTGTGTACTGCAGTATCTCTAACAATTTGTCCGTTTTACCAAACAATAAATAAACTGGATAGACTACACTGTCCATTTCATCATGATGCTTACTCAAGTGGAATTTTTGCTAGCCTTGTAAAAAAAACAACAAGAAATCGAATGGATAAACACAATTTAATCATAAAATATTATTCAAATTTATTATTATTAATGTACCGAAATTTGAACAAACTCATTTTATAATATTAGGCAAAAGTTTAGTAACCTATTAGGTGTCCTCGATTCATGAAGTCCCTCCTTTCTAAAAGTTATCATACTAAGAAATGGAAACTATTTTGATTAAAAAATCGATGTTAATTCGTGTTACCTTACAAGTATCAAATTAATAGGGAAACATGATCCATAGCTGAATTGAATTCATGAAATAAAGCAATAAAAATTCTTCATCAACAAGGTCAAAATATTAAATCTGGGTAATAAATTATTATATTTCTGAAGGTTTCCTTTTTTATTTTCATTTGATTTGGCATAAATTTTTATTTTTTAAACAAATATTAAATAAAAACTCTCAGTTCAGTTGATGTCTTTTTGCCAAAATACACCACCTTTTTGAATTCAGTTCATGAAATAAAATTGATTTATTTCAACTTGGAACAATCACAACTAAGTAAATTTTTGTTTTTCCGCATATAAATAGCGTAAAAGTTGTTTAATTTATCGCAAAATTGCTTTAAAATGTGCCAAGAAATTAAGTTTCGAACACCGAATGGCTTAAACATTGTTTTTTTTCAAGTATTCAATGTTTTACTCTTTTTACAGTAAGAAAATAATATTTTTCTTGGTTGATTCTCAGGTCACTAGTGAGGACTCTCCAAAATAAATTCATTTGAAAATCTTTCTTTTAGAATGATAATATTTTTCAAATAGTTATTTCGACTATACTACTTATTAGGAAATTAATGGAAAAGTCTATTCCACCAATTCAAATCTGGTTACTTTTCAATGTAGATATTTATTATGGTATAATTTCTAGTGATTCTTTAAATATGTCTGACATATGAGAATATATTTCATTAGATTTCGATGATAATTCACATTCTACTTTGTCTAATTCAGCCTCATATTGTTTCGCTTCCAACTATAGATTAATATTTTCTTCCTAACCTGATTTAACCGTTTTTGTTATCAATCGGAAATATTCTGAACTACTGACTACTTGAATAAATTACCGATCAATAGGAAGTCGAAAATTGAAAATTAAGAAACCAGCGATTCAGTTATTTTGAAGAATCGATTTTCCACGAATCTAATCGATAGCATCTCTTTACATAAACGATTAAACACTATCTATCAACCGGCGGATAAATTCTCGTAGATTTAAGACAACTATCAGTTTGTAAATACTATTCTTAGCAAATTGTTTATTTTGTTATTCAAACTACGGACATAAATAACTTTATTGATCCGAATAATTCCAAAATATGTTCTAGATAACAATTTGTCCTTTATGATCCACAATCATTGACTTGAAGATATAACACATCCTCATTATGTAAAGGAGTTGGATTATGCTACCAATAAATTCCCTTACTTTATGCTCCAATCGATCGAGTTCGTATGGTATAGAGTTTTATTAACTAGACCTTGTTTAATGTTACTCAGTAGTTTTAAAGCTATTAGTGCCGTTCAACTAATTCATTTGGTAAAATCGGTTTGTATTCATACTCCTAGGATATAACATTTGTAGCAAAGGTGTTGTGTTTATAATTAGATTTTGTTAAGAAATTACAAACCTTTGAGAGTTGGTCATAGTTAATATTTGAATAGAGAAATAAGACGACATATTTTGTGAGATAGTACCATTTCGTGCTTTCTCGTCAGCCTCGTCCATTGCAAAACAGCTAATGATGAGTGGTCATCAAATTGACCCAAAATCAGCCTTTAGAGTTGTGACATGTAATTAAAACCCATACACATTGAAACTACTCGAAGCTAGCTTGATTGGTCGGAAAAGTCCAACTTTATGTGTTCAAAAACAACTGTATGTTGACCTTTGTTTACCATGGTTCTAGTGAGTGAATGTCATGCTAAATAAGAAATTTTGACCTTATCTTCAAAACTGTATTTACACAAATAACATGTTGCTTGTATGTGACTGATGAGAAAGCAGGAAATGGTACTATCTCACAAAATATGTCTTCTTATTTCTCTATTCAAATTTATCAAAGGGAACCACTGTTTTGCATAGTTAATATTATATAGCAAAGTTGTATTACATGAAATATAATTTTTTGTTTATTGGTTTTTACACAAAAATACATGTAAACGGTAAGATAGCTGAAATTACAATTTGTAAAACAGTACAATTTTAAACAGTATAAAAAAAACAAGAGATGTACAATGTGATGTTCAAATCAACAGGTTTTTAAATTGTTATCATTTACAATTATAACCTATTCATGTTAGTTTTTTTTTCTATTCACATTTAGCCTGTTTTATATTTAAAACTAATCAGTGTTTAGTTGATTCAAAGTGATAATTGAAATTAAACATTTTTAGAACATGCATGGTCAAACATTAAGTAGATAGTATGCATTATATATATACATATATCTATCGTTAACTTGCAATGATTACCGACTATAGTTTAATGATCAACTATGTTTGTTACTTAGTTTGTAAAAATTACATTAATTTTAGCAATACATTTTTCCGGTAACTGTAATACAAACTGCATTTATGTGTCACTAACAGGCTAGATATTTTATTTTGTTAGCTAACTTCAATGTAATATTATTATTTTGTACTTTTACAAAACAAATAACAACTGAAAACAAACATGTGCTAAAAGCAAGTATTCCTTTGAAGAAAATTATTTATACTGAAGCATACCTTGCTTATTCAAGCTAGTTCAAGTTAATCAACCATGAAAATTCAGTCAAACAGTTTATTTCGATATGAATGCTCATCAGCTAAAAAAATAAAAGTTATGAAATTCAATCAATTTTTGATTAGATTTCCGAAAAAATCAATTTTGATTGATCAAAGTAATGTTGGTCGAAGATTTTCCAGCCCCATTGGTTAGCAAAACAACTTTCCTGTTGTCAAATTAATCGATGATTAACTTGTCCACCAAATATATACACTGTTTTCTGTGAAGTTCTAAAGTTTGTCTCTGCTCATGTATTAGAAATAAAGAATTTTTTATTTAAAATTAGGATTTGATTTGATAAGTAAAATTTGTGATGATGTTTTGTTCTCTGAGCTGGATGCTTTGGTTGTGGAGCTTTCATTGTTCTTTGGAACAAACAACATCATCAGTACGAACTTCAGATAGAAATGAAGTATTCGAATTTCGCCACGTTTGATCCGTAGCTTGTTCTGTTAACCTCGATTTGATTGGTTACTGTTAACCTCAAACATGTCGTTTTCTGCACCTTTTGTTTTGATTGTATCCCTCTTTTGATCTGAAGTGAAGTATTCAAATTTCTCCATGTTTGAAAAACTTCACTACTATGCTAATGATGTTGTTCAGAAGAACAATGAAAGGTCCACAACCAAAACATCCATTTCACAGAGAACGAAACGCCACCACAATCATCCACCTGAGCTACAAATCTTTTCTTAATTTTCGACTTAATTAAAAATTAAATTATTTTTGTTTAAATTTTTATTTTCAGTTTTTCTTGGATCAACAAAATATCCTCAAAGTAAATTAAAGTCATCATCATCAAGTAATAAATCGGAAATCAAATTAATTAAACTATTGAATTTTGATAAATTTCATCCTTTATTAAAACAAGATGAAGATATTCATCAGATGATTCATACTGAATCAGATAATTTAATGAATATCACTAAGAAGCGTACAAGTACAATAAAATTACAAACTATCAATCAATCATCCCCCAATGAGCAATCACCTAAAGTAGAACATAAAGTCAAATTTTCCAATGTTCATAAATTAATAAAACAAAGAACAAAAAAAGAAAATGATAACATTTCACCACATCAAAAAATGAAAAAACACACACTGGAATTTCAGACAAATGAACAAATTGATTTAATGAATATTTTTGAAGTGTATTTATTAACTATGTATCAAATTTGTCGAAAGAAATTATTACAATTGTCAAATGAAGAAAAACTTCGAGTTAATTTTGAAACTATTGCATTAACTAGTTCAAGTGTATATTGTAATGCATTATTTAGTAAGAATGAAATAAACAAAGTGGAATATTTGCCAAATTATTTAAATGTCATTAAGTCTAATGATCAAAGTGATGTACAAAAACAATCACATGAACAATATTCCTTCAAAAAAATAAATGTGAGTAGTAGAAGTATAAATATAATTTTTTATTATAACTTTCGAAGCAGTGATTTATACAAAAATTATATGCCAATGACATAGTTCCACTTGATGAAGATGCTGACAAGATGAAGAGTCTTATGACCACCCTAAGCAACAATCCAAACATGTTCGGGGTGAGATTTTCCCCCTCGAAATGCAAAATGTTGCTTCAAGATTGGGTTGCATCGACACCTGAACTAGTGATAGGGAGTGAAGTAGTCGAACGTGTAGACCGCTTCACTTATCTTGGGAGTCTCATCAGTGCTGATGGCCTTGTGACTGACGAAATTTCAGCTCGGATACAGAAAGCTCGATTGTCAACTTGCGTCACCTATGGCTCAGGCGAGATATCCGTTTACTTATAAAAGGACGAGTCTGCTGTGCAGCAGTTCGTTTCGTCCTACAATACGGATGCAAAACACGACCGGTGAGAGTAGAGGATATTCGCAGGTAGCTTGTTTTCGATCATAGGTGTCTTCGAAGCATTTCTCGTGTATCCTGGGACAACTGAGTAAGCAATGCTGTCGTTAGGAAAGGACTACTAGGTATGGACGGCAGATCAATAGACGCAGTAGCGAAACTTCGTCAGTTGAGGTGGTTGGGACATGTGTTGCGTATGCCTAACCACCGACTACCTCAACCAGCTATGTTTTGTGGAGTAGGAGTAGGTTGGGGCGGCCAGACCGAAACATGACTGAAATCCATGAAATCACTAACAAGTGGACTGAGTCATGTTGGTAGATGTAGGCTACCTGTTTGAGACCCGCGAGACGTAAGTCACCAGTGATTAGAGACGTTGAATGACATGGCTCAAAATCGTTCGCAGTGGAGCAGGTGCATCCACTCTTTGTGTTTTCTCATATTTTAACCTCTTTCTTTCTCTTACTAAATTTATCTTACTGAATTATACTTCACGAATCATATCTTCGCTCCCTAATCTTCTGCATTACTGCTAATACTTCTATTATTTCTATCAATGAATTGACAGTAGCGTCTCTGTGCTAATGCGGTATGGCAACCTGAAATGATGTACGTACGTACAAAGTTCTGTGTTGTATCTGTCTGAATGTTTGTCTGTCCATGCAAAAATCACAACATCACTGAAAGATTTGAATACAATCATCTCACCCATGTTTTTTTGCTTTAATTCTACTATCAAGTATATTACAAATAGTGTTTGCAGAAAATCGCTCACTCGATTTAATGAAACATCTGATTCAGAGCAAAATATTACTAATCTTATTATTATTCAGAAATTATGATAAGTTGTCATTGATAGATTTTTTTCTTAAATGACAGTTTTATGAATAAAATGCTAATTGCTAATTGTTTGTTAATGCTTAATACAATGTCATAATTGTTATTAGACAGTAATTAGTAAATACATTACGTATACAGGTAAAACTTTCATCATGTCATTCAAAAACTTATGTTAACATTAGATATTTTCTCATAATGATATGTTTATGCAAATTTTATTCATCATACTGATAATTAAAATTTTTTATTTATTTCATGTCAAAATTTAGAAATAAAGAGACATTTATTTACAGAATAGTAAATAAAATGAACCACTGGCTAGCTGCTTCATTGGGAGTTTTATGGTTGATCTATGACTGGATATTATAATGTTTAGTTAATATCGACACAATTTTCAACCCTTTTAAAAAGAGTTATAGCAATAGAGAAATATATTTATACAATAAAAAAAATCTAAAGATAGAATACACTAAAAATGTTTGAATTTTTTAAGTAATTCATTTTTTTTTCCAATTATGGTACATTGATCAGGGTTTTCTGACTAACATTTGTAAACGTTGGTTGCATTTATTTGAACGAAGTAAAAAAATATTGCTCATGATGGTTGATCTATGACTGGATATTATAATGTTTAGTTAAGAGCGGCACAACTTAACCCTTTTTAAAAATAGTTCTAACAATAGAATGATATATTTATACTTTCACACAACTTTTCAATCTAAAGCATATATGATCAAAGCGTAAACGAAGTATACTATACACTAGTGTGAATATATGTGGTGAATACCTTGAGTATGATTTATCATACATGAAAATATTGAAACCGAAGAGACGATAAAAAAATTTATACAGCCATACTTAATTTAAACATGGAAAACACTAAAAGTGTTGGAATTTTTCGAGTAATTCTTATTTTTTCTAAATATGGAAAATAGATCACGGTTTTCCAATCAACATTGAAAAACGTTGGTTGAATTTATTTGAACGAACTCAAAAAATCTTGCTTATGATAGTAGATGACACTAAAATTATTAGTAAACAAAACATCTTACAATTAATTCAAGAAAAATTATAACAATCTTCATACTCACTTTGTAAAACTAAATTTTAGAATTTAATTAATCTTTAGACTTAAAAATATTAATTCGATCAGAAAATGATAACCGTAGACGAGAGCTAAAATCACTCGGTTTAAATCGTCATTTCGTTGAATTATACATGTCGGCATGGACTTCTTGGTTGTGTTAGCCATTTGTAATGTAAGTTAACTGAAAGTGAATGACCGAGTTAAATGTTATTTACAGCGAATTTATCACTATTCATTGGGGTTAGGTTCTTCACTAGGTACGCTTGAAGCTATTACGAGTTCACTTTAGTCGATAAACGCGAACGAGACACTAAACCAGCGTCCAGATAGGCTACCGTGATCCGAAAACGGTAGAAGAGAAGTCTTGATAAGCGTAGAAAGTATATTCTACAAACACCCAACAAGCACAATACAATCAAACACACAACTCTCGTTTATTTATACATCATAGAAACGTTGTTGGGACAGTTACGAAAACAGCACACTAAAATACACTGTAGCCAATCACAGCCATGGATTTTCCTGATGGGAAATGAAATCGCAAGGTCAACTGATCATTCCATGCTCGCAAACGTGAAATCCAAAATAAGGCATTTATCAAGCGAGTTCTGGGAATCTAACATCTCCAACAATTGGTAACTTTTTTCTTAGATCTACAGATTAATATGACTCACTACTATTGGACTATATTTCTTACATTCACAGACTTTAAATTGTCGTTACTTTGCATGGCATGTCGCTGATTCCATTTCAAAGTGTTGAAAAGATGTGTGAACTTGAAATCTATGCACATTTGTATAATATCATATATATTGTTAATGATTGACATATTAAACTTACATGTAATTTAGAATTTCATCTAACATATGAACTTACAAACAGTTTATGCAGAAAATTACTTATTTCCGATTATGCTTACACAGTAATAGTAATTTATTGATAATAATAACTTTCATGAGAAATAGGTTTTCAGTTCATTCTGATTCAACAGATGGTAATGATAGAATATGAAATGATATTTTAACATTAATATTTTCGTCAGTATTACAGTTCTGTTAACGCTACCATAAAAGCATATTTTTGAGATAAATAATTTTCAGTTCATTAGTATTTTAAAGGAATGAATTTACTGGATGATGAGTTGTTTTGTTAGAGTTTGCTCGATTTACATGAAACTGACGTATAACCTCTCGTAATCTGTTAGAATTGATGTTATACTGTTTTTAAAGCTATTTCTTAGTAATTCTGAACTTGTTACCCATGAAATTCTCATATGTTGCTGACTAGAAGACATTTTTATGCAAAATACAGTTTGAAATAGTTAGATGCATTGATATGATGAATAGATGAACCACGTTCTTCTCAACATAGACCTTTAACTAGTTGACTAAAATGGTGTCACATATAATTCAATAAATCATTCTAGGAAATCCCACCATATTTTATGTAATAATATCATTATCAAAATGGATGACTTAAACTGCTTTTGTTTACTTTAGTTTTATTTTTTCCAAAGACCCTCACATTATCACTATCAAAATCGTTTGTTTTTTTCCAATCGGTCAATAAGTTCAAGGTGAGAAGAGGTGTATCAAATAAACTGTTTGATAACCTTTATACTGTTCATCTATTTTACTGCATGCATTCATAGTATAGAGAAAATATATATCTGTTTGATAAAAATCAACTTATAAAAGATGATATTTGAGAAAGTGACCGAGAAACGTTTCTTCTGATGTTTTAGTTTTATCAATAATAATTAATAAGTTGAAAGACCGACGAATTAGGTTGTCAAAAAAAAAACTATTGAATGATGATGACCTTTAATTTTTTTATGTATGGATAATATTTATGAGAATGGATTGCTGAAGTCACGCCTATGTTTTATCACACATGTATCTATTTTAGAAATAAGATATTATTGCATCAGTTTACAGTCAAATTATGTTCAATAAAATGTTTGAACAAAGTATTTATGGTCGTTATTTGTTTAAATCATAGGAAATTAAGAAATATGAGTTTAGTGAGACGATATACAGTATAAAAAAGTGTCATTTTTAGATAAGCTTAGACATAATAGTAAATAAATTAACATAATGATCATAATAATTACTCTGGTAATTTATGTGCAAACCTATGATTGTAAATGTTGCATAGTTTTTCAACTAGAAGTGATGACAATTAGTTCAATGAGATGGTGTTGTTTTATTCGATTTTACATTTGTGTAGGAAATTTCTAGAACCTTCACAATACAAAAATTCTGTTTATTGATGTCTACGGATCTTTTGAAAACTAGAATGTGTATTTTTTTGATGAGACAGTAATAGTTTATAAATAAAAATTACGAAAGAATAAAATATTTGAATCTTACAAATGATAGTACCATAGTTTTGGTTCTACTTAATAAGTAAATAAATTGTTGGGGATATTAGATCCCCAAAACTCGTTTGATAAATGCCTTAGCTTGGATTTCACGCTTGCGAGCATGGAATGATCAGTTGACCTTGCGATTTCATTTCTCACCAGGAAACACCATGGCTGTGATTGGCTGCTGTGTATTTTAGTGTGCTATTTTCGTAACTGTCCCAAGGACGTTTCTATGATGTATAAATAAAGGAGAGTTGTGTGTTTGATTGTATTGTGCTTGTTGGGTGTTTGTAGAATATACTTTCTACGCTTATAAAGCCTTCTCTCTTCAGCTTGGGATTCAAGGGAGCCTATCTGGACGCTGGTTCACTGTCTCGTTCGCGTTTATCGACTAAGGTGAAATCGTAATAGCTTCAAGCGTACCTAGTGAAGAACATAACATAAATAAATAAATAAACAGATGTGCAAAGTCATTATACTTCTTGATTAAGTATTCAATTTACAATAAAAAAATATTACAATGATACATTTAGACAATTCATCTTCTTTCATATAATCGGTTTTCAGGAATGTACATTTAATTCTGGCAATCGTATGCACATATTGACTGCATTGATGAAAGAATACAGTGCATACTCTTCATCATGTGTATCAAAACAATCAAGAATATCATTATGCAAATTGGCTTGTTTGTTTAATCCTTTCACTAATCATGATTTAGAGAATATGCCTGTACAATTTGAAGAATCTGATTTAATGGATGATGATGAACATAGTTGTGATAAAAGTTCCATGAAATTAGAAGTAGTAAGTTTATTCACGGTCTATGTAATAATGCATTGTTATCTTTCACAACATATGGTTTAAATATTAGATACTCATTACTTTCTGATTGTAATTTTTCAATAATGATGAGAGAATTCAACATAAACATCATCCGAAACACAGAATAACGTTTGTTGACCTAAGTTTTAAGGTCCACAGAAAAAAAGAAATAAATATATATATATCAAGTCATATAAGTTAAGCATCTAGTGAAATTTGTTGATGGATTGTTCAATGAATGTCAGTGTTCGACAATTCAAACGTCACTCACATCAGTTCATTTGGTTAAATTCGCCAATAGAAAGACTGACTATTATGAAATTCGTAAATTCTCGCTGGTGAATAATTTTAGAATGGAACACAATAGAAACACTGGTTATGATGATCTGATTTTTGAAATAAATCTATTTTGACCATTTTTAATTCCAGGAAAGCATATGCTTATATGACTCAATGTCAGTAAGCCACGCAAACAAACGGATATTACCTGTTGACGTTCTATTTATTTTTTTTACGTAAAATGCATAATCGTTGATTGATGGCATTATTTATATGAAACGTTTTGCAAACGTAATTTTTGGAAGGGGTTTACAAGTTTTTTCATGACGTATACGACATGGGCAATTCCTGATTCCTTAGAATGAGTTGCAAGTGAGCATATAACTGAGTTGATTAAAATACTTCTCATCTTCATACAAATATCTAAACCCGTTTGTATTACTTTGATATTTTTGTGCAGACGTCCGGTTCATGGGCACTTTAAATGCTTCGAAATTGTAAACTGATTATTTCTTAGCTTATGGATCAAATCAAGATATTACTCATCGGAGTCATTTGAAGTTTCAGAGAGTTTCCTTATTTTGGTTATATTTTTTCTCACTTTTCTAGTGGATATCAATACCGTTTCATAATTTTTGATCAATTCTTAATTTAGATAAGCGAAAATGAAAGACAAAACAATGCAATTTCCGAGGGATTCACATCACAGTCGATCTCATCAAAAACACTTGACAGAATGGAAGAGAATTCCCCAAAAGGAATGCACAATTCTGATACGAAATCAAGAACTAACAAACGATTGAAATTCCATAGAGTTACAGGACTGAGTCCAAACTTTGTTATGGAAATTCTGTTTTCGCTGTATCCTGTTCTGTTTACTGAACATTCAGATTTAGCTTGCGAAGGAGTAAGGTCTCTCAAAGCTAGAGCGGAGTATGAAATATGGTCGAATGTACGTAATCATATTACCGTTTGTTTGCTTTTCTATTAATAGTTTTATTCATTTACATATTAATTTGGCAATCGTTTTAAAAGTTTATCTAGTTATATAGTGATGTCAAAAAGAATTGTTTAGTTGAAAGAAATCGATAAAATGTTATTAATTTTTGAATGTTTTAAACTTTCCGCTGTTTATATTTCTAGAGTACACTGATCGATCTTCACTGACAGATGACCTCCTTGATTAAAAGTTTTCATAATATTTTCATCTCCTTGTTTAAGATTGACTAGCAATGTCATGCAATAAGTACATATGTTCTATTTAGAATTTGTTTTTTTCAACGTACATATCATTGTTTTCGATTAATAAAAGAGTTCAACATCTGTCATTTCAAAAGACACGGCACTTTGTACCTTTTTTCTTTTCGTGATACTAAAGTTCACTAAAATAAACAAATACAAAGAGAGTTAAATTTATTATTTCGAATAATTTTCATTATTTAAAGTACAATTAAACCGACTATTGTCAGTTCTAAAAAACAATGAAACAATTAAAGTTCAATGAGCGAAACTGAGTAGAAATATCATGATAAAATACTTTCGAGTTTAAATTTTTCAGGGGAAACTAAAGCATAGTATTATGGGTAGTATATTACAAATAATTTACATCTTTCTCATAATAATGTATTCAAAATGATGATAACTGACAAAAGACATACCATTTCATAAAATTCTCTTCCCTTGACCATCAAAAGTAAAGCATGTATTGACGAAAGTCGTCTAACTGAATCAACACTCATTATCATTATAGTTTGCTCTAAATATATCATATACTGTCACCATTTCCTAATAAGCTATTTTGTAAATATTACATCGTATAAAACACTTGTAAAGTTATTTAACTCACTTGCGAGACTAAACTAAACTCACTGTCTACAATTACGGATATTCAATTTAGAAAAAAAGATCGACTTAATAGTAGTTACAGAAAAAAAATCAATAGTAGATTGATTATACTTGTGGTAACAACAATAAAAATTAATTGTCGTACTAGAATTTCTGAAACTTTATAGGAATAATTATACAGATGACTGAATCAATAAGTTGAAAGATGGCAGGAGAAGGAAGAAAAATACTAATCTAAATAATCATAGGAAGAAATTGTATTGTAGTGGTCATTACACAAATTGATGTGTCTATGAAAAGGAATATTAAAGTGTTATCGTAGTTTGAATGAATGATAGTGGGGGGAGAATAAATAGTATTTGTCAAAATTAGAGATTTAGTACAGAAATTGAAAAACGATCATGCAGTAGCAGTAAATTAATGATCAGAGAAATTTCAGTTAAATTAAAAAGAACGATGAAATATGATTATATATAAATATCATCAACAGCAACGTAGAAATTTGTACGTAAGTGCGTCAGTTTAGGTTGCCATACCATATTAGCACAGAGACATAATTGTCAATTCAAATCTCATAGTAGCAGAGGTAGTAAAGGTATTGGAAATAATCGGAGAGATTAGGGTTCGAAGATGTTATTCAAGAAGTATGATTCAGTGAGGTAAATTTAGAACGAGAAAGATATAGGTGATCAGGAATTCAGAAGGTTACGATTTGAGAGAACACAAAGAGTAAATGCACCGGCGCCACTGCAAACGGCTTTCAGCTATGTCATTCAGGGTCTCTAACCATCCCCAACCAGGTAGTCGACACCTACCGACATGATTCAGTTCACTTGTCAGTGAGTTCATGGATTTGTGCCATGTTTTGGTTTGGCCGCTCCTAGCTTTCTTCTAACCTATTCCTACATCGCAAAACATAGCTCGACGAGGCAGTCGGTGGTTAGGCATACGCAACACATTTCCCAACCACCTCAACTGATGAAGTTTTAATATTTCATCCATTGACCTGCCATCCTTACCTAGCACCTGTTTCCTAACAACAGCATTGCTAACTTGATATATATATATATATATATATATATATATATATGCATATAAGTATAAGGAGTCTGGTTTTACTACTCACATAAGTTGAATGAAGTTTAATCAGGAGCAGATAATGACTATAATATATCTTAACAGATATGTACCAAAACACAACTTTATATTCAATTTCTACTTTCCTTTCAGGTCTTGCTACTGATTAGTTCAATAGAAAAAGATTATACTCGATCAAAGTCATCTGACTTAAAATCGCTTAAATTTGACAACCGAATGATCAATCAACACGTTTTAAATAACAACAATATCAACCAGTGTTCAGTTGAAGAACATAAATTAGACTCCGAACAATTAAGTTTGGCTAGTGCTTATTGTGGCTTATGGTCTGGATTGTTGGGGAAACGATCAGATGTACAACAAGATGAAATACTTCCAGAACTCGGTGATATTCAAGATTTATCAGGCAAGCGTTTACAATATGTTCGGTTGGCGCAAGCCAAATTCAAAAGACCAGTTGTAACAAATTCAAATTTTAAAACTGTTAAATTACCAGACGATATAACACCAATATCCCCACATGATGTAACTTTATCAAAGCAAAATGAAAACAAAGACTGCCCATCAACAACTGGAAATGCGTATCTAGAAAACAAGTGGAAAGGTTCTTTGGATGATTTATCAAGACTTGACGAACCAGTTGCGCCATCATTTTCTTTTACTCGTGAATGGTTTAGGAAGACACTTTGGAAAGAAAAACAGGCTGAAAAATCTTAGGTTTCGTTTTTTTTAACATTTCAGATCACTTTGTTTTAAATTTGAAAATTTTTCATTTATGCATTACTTATAACTATTGGATATTTAATTTTGAACAGAGCATTTGTTCCTTGCATTTCCTATGTGATATTACTGTTTTTTTTAAAAAGAACAGTATTATTTTGGATTTTTTAAAATCTCCTAAATATAAAGTGAACATTTTTCAGAAACGTTTGTTTTTCAGTTTATGACAGGCCGCCTGCAACTCATCTACGGTAACGGCATAAAAAGGTTATTCAATAGCAGTTACCATTAGAGTGAGATAGCTGTTGACTGTTTGTTAGAAAATAATCAAAATTTACGTTAATGCTTTTTGTAGAATTAAAAATTTAAAATACCAGATACTAATTCTACACATATAGATTCGGAATCCAATGACTTTTGATTGTCAAAACTTCCTCCATAGTTTAAGGCTGAACAATTGTCTAGAATATATGTAACATGGTACTGCGTTTGCCTTAAGACTCAATAAATACATAAATTAAATTTGAGTAGCAGTTCAGCAGCAGAAAATATAATCAATAGTTTTCAGCTTAAAAACCAAAAGGGAAGCATGAAAAATTTCCACACTGATAGTAAAATAGTAGTGCTTAATAATGTACGTAAGAATGTTATGATAACATCGGTCCTAACATTATGTAAACACTAAAACCTTAGATAGGAGTAACGTTATTATATATGTAGAAATCATTTAGTAAGTTATATTTAGGGTTGCTCTGGTATTGGTCATCTATTACGTCAGTTTACTGTGATACTCTGTGTCAAGTGATTTTTCCAAATATAAAATTCAGTTTTGTAATTTTCAGCGATCTATTTATAAGAAAATAAGATACATAGCAATTTGCTCCCAAGGTCATTCAGAAACATATTGAGTGTTAGTTTGCGAAAATATACGTTGCATACCATTAAGTCTTTCATTTTGTCAGCTTTACAGTCATGTAGAAAACATTGTTTTATATTTGCGATTGGTTGTAGCTTGAGATTTTATTTAACTGTTATAAAATATAACCAGTTTATTGATGATCATTGGTTCAGAGAGATAACTGCATACGGAGATAGTAGAGATGCATTTCACAAGCAAAAGATCATGATTGGCATCGACATATTCACTTGACAATGAATGCAAGGGGTATGATACACAATGAAAAGTCAACTAGTTCAGTTAGAGCCTGAGATGAGGTTGTTGGAAATTATTTAAAAATTAGTTTTTTTATGTTGAAAATAAATATTAATCAGGATACCATTTCGATTTCTTCATATGCTAGGCTTCCGAATGTTGTCTTTCTCACTATCGTCCTAAATATTTAATGAGTTGAGAGAGAGATTGTGTTTATAAATAATAGTGTTTATTAACACTGCTGATATAAATCTGGCCATTTACACACCTATTTGTTGTATGTGCTCCAGTTAGTCAAGATCAGCAAAAGTTTCTAAAGCGCACAGGGAAATAAAAGTACCGGGAACAAAATGAACTATGCTACCACTCGATCAATGCAGAAAATTTCACGTAATTCGCAAATCTTAATAAAAGTGTTATAACTATTATCATATGTGATTAATTTTATTGCAATTAGGCACTTTCTGCAGCCGTTGTATAATGTTTCAATAAATTTTTGTTTAACATGTTTTGACATTATAGTGATCGAAAAAAATATCTTTTTAATAGTCAGTATCTGATATCCATCCAAAAATTTCTAATCATGGCATTAAGATAATTATGATAGAGTAATAAATGTCAACCAAGGTAAAACCATTATGAGTTATTCAAATTTATTATTATGAGCTAATCATATAATTTTCGTTATTTGTTGGTGACTTGTTACAATTATATTTGATATTCATAGTGGTATTACTAAGAATGGATTAAATGTTTCATAGAATGTATCTAGTATTTTTTTGATGATTCTGAATAGGCCAAAAATAATAAGATTTACCAGAAATAATTGAACTGTACCATCATCAACTGAATATTTAAAACAAGACAGAAATTCAATGTAAAGAGAAGAAGCTATCAAACATAATATTCAAGAAACGTTGACACAGTTAGAACCAAATCAAAAAGAATTATGAGGAATGATTAAAATGGGATTCAGTGATAGGTGATTACTTTATGCACTCAGCTTTATAAATAACCAAACTTTACATTTACTTTTACACACATAAATAGTTATTATCATGTTAAAAATACTGGTATATTTGTCATTTTCCTCAACTTATGATATTCCTCTAGCCAACTTCAAACCATCAATTTCGTTTTATTAAAGAGAGTAAATTAATCCTTTCTTTCCAGTCATGTTATTATTATGATAACTTCTACATCAAGTGGATTAGTCAAAATAGATATGTATATTCAATGTATGCATACAATATGTCCAAAGTAATCTTTAGAGAACCAAATAAATCACTTAATTTTTTATCAGTGACTGATCACATTTATTTTAGAATAATCCTCAATCTTTATTCTGAAGTTGGGTGGTTTTTAAATATTATATATATATATATATATATATATATATATATATATATATATATATATATATATATATATATATGTATTCAGTGATTGATCTTCAAACGAAATATCTATCTGAAAAATGCAACAAACAACTAAGATTATGTAAGGTTGAAAAAAACATTATATTCAATTTAATGATTTCTGAAAAGTAAGATGATCGATTATATGTAACTGAATACAGGAAATTAATAAAAGTTTCTTGTCCTAGCGATAATCAATAGAACCTTGGACATTTCCTCGAAAATAATCATCATGTATGAATTATAAAATTTATCAGTACAGTTAAAATATGCTAGGTTTACTAACGATTTAATCCCAAAAATTTATGCATTGTGTTGCATACATATGTATTAGAGAAGATAGTTACATTGGCATCCGAAAGATTGCAAAAATAGAAACCAACACAGGCTTCTTATAATTTAGTTTCTAGATATTTGAATGATACTGGACACTAGATAGATATCATGGAATCCTTCAAAGTTTTCGATGTACCGTAACTTCATTTACTGAAGCTGTATTAGTCGCGTACCTGAAACTCTCGCTACCTAACTAAATAAAAAGAGACATCGTTTTTGTATTTGGTTGTTAACAGAACTTAGACATAATACATTATTTCCTAGCTTCCCCTGTAGGATTGTATCATTTCGGATTATAAGTCAAACTATTTTATTCAATAATTGAGTTAGACCGTTTTCGCTTATAATGGGCGCTTAACTATGTTCAGTTGGATTGCCTCTTTATCTCCTAATTTCGTCCTTATAAGTTTCGAGTACGTTTTTAAGAGATGATTCATGAGTGCATACATATGATTCGTATCGATTAAGCATCAAATTTTAAAATGCGTTGAACGCAATATTCTGAAGTATTAGTGCTTAGAAATCGAAAGCCAGATTCAAATAAATGGAAAAAAATAAGCAAATTAAAATGGCTACTCTGTGATTTGACTCAAAATGTGAGTTTTGTATAAATGTAAGAGTTTTGTTATAGACAATTTCTGAAATTCAAATAAAAATGTTTGACAACAGAAAGTGAATTGAATAAAATAAGAAAGGTTTCGTTGCGACAAAATTTAATTTTTCTTATATCATATCAATGAATAATTTCTTATTTTTGTCAAAACATGGTAATCTAAAACATTTGTTGTTCATCGAAGATAATTTTGTTGAATTTTGTTGATAAAATGAGCTGAATCGCCTAATTTAATGCGGTGACTAATTGATTTCATGATCAACCTAGCAGTAGCATCCTTGAGACATAATCTTTCGAGTGAAAATTTTAGGAAATGCTTCTTATGAATTTGTTAACTGTCTAATATTAACTAGCTAATAATTTTCGACTGAATTACCTGTGAACAAATTTTCATAGGAAAACTCAAAAAATTGATTATCCGTTCACTAATGACATACAAAATTCATCAACAAGGCAATAAAAGTGTTTTATAAAAAAAAACCTTGTAAACTCAATAATCAGATGTTGTTTTGAATAACTCTTGTCTTATAACTCTTTAGAGGAAAAGAATCGCCTAACAGCTAGAAAAAGAGAACTTTATTTTAAAAAATTTGGCACTGAAGCAATAGTTGAACTAGCCGACATGATGTTGAGTTCTGAATTGTACATATGTAATGAATAGTTATACTTAGGAGAAAACATTACTGGTGGTAGTGTAGTGAACGGGAACGCAGGTGAGGGCAACCCAATTGTATTAAACGAAAATTACAGAGTTACTCAGTAAAATAGGAAAACCATATCGTAAATTGTTCATTTGCAAAAGATCAGTTCATCCTATCGAACTGGACTGTTCCTGTTGCCAAACATCAATCCATTGTCACTATTCAAGCGTTTCATACAAATTCCATTGTTTTCTAACTCTTCCTTTCTTGATCTTCCCCCATCTTCGGCTGCCAGACATTACGTTGACACCCACGTCATATACTACTTATAAGTAGCTCACACCACAGTAGGATATTATGAATCAGCGGTATCCTGATTTCCAATCTCTACTGTATCCTTTAAGTTATAAAATGTGAAAACACAGTAATACAAAACCGATCTGATAGCTTGCTATATAGATGTCGAATTGGGAAGCGAATACATTTTGACGCGTTCGCTGTTAAAACTGCTGCGCTTTATTTTCATGAAAATGGAACAAAAACTGGTTACTTATTGCATCGTTCTGAGTAAACTTCAGTGATAAGCCAGATCTTGATTTGAGCTTCATAAATGACAGTCAGTTACTTAAGTAGACTTGAAAGTTTGCCTGAGGTCAGCTTTTGTACATAAGTTTGTCTCTAACCGGGTTATATTCATTTAAAGCTTTAAAGATGGTCCTATACTGTAAAATGAACTGAACTGTGGTAGTCATGATTATTAACAATTTCAAATTGAATTAAATCGAAACTGTAAGTTCCCCTAGGTTATAAGCAGTATTTCTTTCACAAAGTATGATATTTATTTGAAGTTATTCATGCCAGTCTTTATAATGAACAGCATACCTTAACCAGAAGACCTAAACTTTATTCAGTTGCTTGTCGTATTGTGTAAGTATATACTTCTTTAAACATCTAAATGAAATC